CGTCTCTATGACTCCAGCTCAGCACAGTAGTGGGTTCTTGACAAGTGATATCTTGCATTGCTAGATGAAACTGTAAAATAGTGCGCAGCAAAATTAAAAGGAATCTCTCTTTTTTGTACTTCTGTTTTTTAACCTCTCTTTTTGTACTTAATCTCTCTTTTTGTACTTCTGTTTTTTAACCTCTAATTTTTTATCTTGTTGCTGACTTGCTTTCCATAGTCTTTTGACTAACCAATAGAAGCACAAATTTCAGGTTAATGCAAATGTAAAATCTTTAAAATCTAAAAAGAGAAAATAAGATACAAAAATATCTTGTAATTCCTAATAACTTATTTTTTCTCCACGAGCACATGGCAGTGAAATTACATCAAATTAGATATACCTACTGAATTATATAAAATTAAGTGTTATTTTATGGACATGTAATTCACTTCCAGTTAGACATTGTGATAGTTTGTTTCTTATATTAATTTTTTCCACATAATATATGGTCTTAGTGGGTAATATTTATGTCATGAGAATGTCTAATGTATTCAGCACAAAAATTCGACTGTTTCAAAATATTACTGTTTACAAATTAGATCCTTTCCAAATTATCCAAAAAATGGGAATGAATGCATAAGGCATCTCTTCTCTAACACTTTAAACATCAAAAGGGACCATCTTCAAAATCCAAATGCTTCTCCAGCTTTTCGCAGGATATCACAAAACTTCCTGGCAGGAACTTTTAAACAAGTTGAGAAGTTTTATAAGATAAAAATATTTTTTCAGTTGACTTGACAACCATGTACAATGTTAGTGCTGAGTTTATTTGCCCGAGGCTCTTTGTCAAAATGAATTTAAACTGAGATTATTAAAACGTAGTTCAACTGCACAATGTGAGGAGAGGTGTTGCTAATGTCTCACGTACCGAATATTTTCCACAGAATGTGTGTGACTTGGCTGTGGGCTGTATATGTAGAGGTGCATTTCTGTTAAAAGAGCAGAAACATTTAAAATCTTTCAGAAAACAACAAATCATCTACAGAAATGGAGAATTTTAATCCAAAAAGAGAAGCAGCACAGTGTGGGAGTTTAGAAGGCCATCTGCATGTGCTGGAGCATCTGTCTACGTGGGTCTGAGTACAGCTCCATTATTAACCTCAGCAACGTCCTCATCTGTAAATAGAAGTCATGATAATAGAAACAGTATGGGGATACTGTTAGGATTAAGTGATATCATCATTGTCAGCGATTAATATAGTGGCTGGCACAGAAAAAAGGTTTGAATTGGCTTATTCCAAATCTGTAGAATCAGGACTAAGCAGTGTCTTCTGATAATTCCATATGTGTGGTTAGGAAAAAAATAAAGCCCTGTCCCAATTTAATGATAATGTTTTCTATTATTAGTTAAATAGCTTTAGGAAAATTTAACTAATGATAAACAATGCTTGAATCACCAGATCTCTCCATGGCTAAGCTAATTTCTTACATGAGAATGAGGATCCCAAAAGGAAAACGGTCATCTGGATGAGAGGTTGTAATCTTCCATGTATGGAAAATCATATTACACGAGTTTGGGAAAATGTCCAAATTGCTAAATCTTGGAAGTAGTCCATCTCCTTCTCTCAAATAGACACATTATTTAGGAAGTTTTATTATTTCTGAAAAAGACCAGTTGCCCTTCAAAAATAATAGCATTTGTGTACGGTTGAAAGACTGCCACCACCAATGAAGGGTTGAGTGTGTTCCATGTGACAGGTAGCTATGGAGATGAGACAGTGACATAAAGGGGCCACATCTGAATTGTACAGCTAGAAATACATTAAGGCCTGTTTACCAATTTGTAAAATTATGCCACATTTACAATTTCTTATTTTAATTTAATGTATAAACAAAGCAAATTCTTATCTTTTTTTTTTTTTTTACTTTTCTTAAGTCCACACATTCACCAAAGAAAGCAAATACAGAAAATTACCTTTAATGATAAGTCTATGCATCTTTTGACAAGTTAGAGTAACACAAAACTTCTCTAATTTATTGCCCCAATATAAAGGATCATTATGGTTTCCTCCTATATTCCAGGCACTGTGCAGTCCTTTTATATCATCCTTATGCATTCTCAAAAAAAAATTATTGGGGAAAGTATATTTAACAAATGAGGAAATTGAGGCATGTTTATTTATTGTTATTTATCTTGCCTCTGGTCACATGAATTAGGGGATGATACAGAGATTAAATCTCTCTCTAACTTCAACAACTCTTCACTGTACCCTTCAATATTCTATCATTTGAACCATTTAATACATTTTCCATATAGTCTCTTACTTTTCCTCATCTTCAAGCTAAGAAAACATTTATCTTCTTATTTTCTTTGTCAATTATTCTGTTAACTTGTGTTGATACAGACTCTCTGTGAAGTCATTAATTAGAATAGGAAAATGAAATATGATTCACCAGTGATTTTTTTCTAACAATAAAAGTGAAAAGTAATATTCAATAATGTACTTTTAGTTTTTATTTATACCAGAATTTTCATAGTCAAAGTTAGCAGACACAGTGATATAATTAGTCTTAAGTCGTTAATGATGTGGATGGAGTTCATTCTGTCCATATCATTTTCCTCTTTCAAAAACATATTTAATTGTAACAATTTTGATTTAAATTTTAATTAATCTTAATAAAAATGTAGTTTGGCAGTCTTAAAAAATTCTTTTGATTTGAAAAAATATAGGTAGTTTAGTGATTTCCCTTAGCAATTTCTATAAAAATCCTTTTAATTTAGTGTTTTAAAATACAATACAGATATTCTTATAAATGTTTCATTATGAAAGGCAATTTTATTTGTTATCAGGACAGTAACTGAAGGAGAAAAAGGAATAATGGACTGACTACCCTGTCATCATCTTAGACTTGGTATATGCAAAAACAGGCTTTCTTCTTTCTTCCTCTTCAGCATTAACCCTCATTCACAAGTAATTATTTTGCTCACCTCATTATGAGAATTCACAGGAGATTATATGGATTTTTTTCCTGAAATAGAAAATATTTTACATGATGGCTTGTTTCAGCATTTCAGCATGAGTTGCAGAGTGTGATTGCTATATGCTGGTTCCAAGAGAGATGAAAAAGACTGTGTCCTCAAGAATTTGGAGTTCACCAAAAGTAAAAATTCACAATGGAATGTAGAAAACACTGTAGCAATATTATTTACAGAATCGTTTGGTGGGAAAAGGAGGCAGTACAAAGAGGTAAGGCAGGGATTAGGGAAGGAACACCTAGAAGTAATCTGCATTAATCTTCAAAATTAAATAGAATTTGTCCAGGCAAAGAAGCTGAAGGAAAGGCACTTTGGACAGGGTATAGTTTGCGGGATGAAATTCATAGATGCCCAATGTGGAATGATTAATCACTTGAGTTCTAGAGCAAGGTACCTTTCCAATTTCTCGTTGTATAATCAATCTTGGGCAAGCTACTTCTCATCAGCAAAATGGATGTTATAATCATTCCTACCTCACAGGGTTGTTTAACTCAAACTTATAATATGATACATATTATCAAGTATTTTCTATGATAATACATAGGAAATGCTAATAATAGTTATAAGAAAATGAGAAACAACATAATGTTGGGATGCTATGACTCTTTGGTTTTGCTGAAGAGATAATGCAGTAAATGACATGGAAGAAGATGAAGGGCTCCGTGTCATGTTAAAGAGCTCGAAACCACCACTTAGGTAATGAGAAAACAGAGGAGGGTTGTAGTCAGATTGTATTTTAAATAGATCTCATCGGGAGTGTAGGAGGAAGGGAAGGGAAATGCTGATAAAGATTAGCGGCACAGGCTATCACAATAATTATCACAATTATCACAATATTATAATTATCACAATAATTGTCAAGACTGTCTATATACTGTGATTAGAGTATCATGTAACCATCTTTAATAGTAACAATTGAAATTCAAGGGAGATGACAGTTGAAGGAAATATTTAGAAAGCAGGACTTGTGCCTAACACTCAGTAAATAAAATAAATCAGGTAATAATTCAGGGAGGAAAAAATAAATGATGACCTGAAGATTCTTTATTTGGCAGAATTTAGTGGGTAGCAATAGCATAAAAAAGAGAGCAAGAGAATACAGGAGTAAATAGAGGTTTGAAAGAGACATAAGATGGGCAGACTTCAGACATATTGAATTTAAGGTAGTCTAGAATACCCATTTAGAAATAAGTCAGATTTTTAAGTGTTGATCAGTTAATACCAATTTGCTGGTGAGTACTTGTGGTGCTTGTTTTTCCATTGGGATACTTCGCTTAGTAGAATGGGTTCCAGCTCTATCCAGGAGAATACAAGAGGTGCTAGATCACCATTGTTTCTTATGGGTGAGTAGAACTCCATGGTATACATATACCACATTTTATTAATCCACTCGTGAATTGATGGGCACTTAGGTTGTTTCCACATCTTTGCAATTGTGAATTGTGCTGCTATAGAATGGAGTTTCAACAGATTCAGTATTCACTAGAAAAGATAAGAAAGGCCAGGAGATTTTGCAGGACAGTTTGTGTTATATGTAGTAGGTGGAAGAAGATGGTTTAATGAAGTAGGTGGTGAATATATAATAGAAAATTAACAGTTTAATGTGGTTTCAATTCATATTTTGAAGAAAATTTGATTCAGACAAGAGCAAGAATGTAGTGTGGTTGAATAGAAATTTACTACTTTTGAGTTTCATATATACTCTGCAAAAAATGTATCTATAGATCATTTCAATATAGGTAACCTAAACATGTAATTTTGTAGGTTGATTAGGGAAATGTAAATAAATAAATGATTTTAGATAAAATAAAAATGATTTTAAAAATAAATCTGAAATCTGATTTTATTTTTAAATTTCTTTTAAAACAAATTTCTCTCACAATAGTTTAAACATTTTAACTGTAATTTACCTGCAGCTATGAAAATTAAAAGGTAATATTTCTTAATGTAATTTTTTAATTTTAATTATGTTTGGAATCAGCATGGGCATTAATCATGACAATGACCACCCATCATGTGCTAATGGTCTTCACATCATGTCTGGTGAATGGATTAAAGGACAAAATCTTGGTGATGTTTCATGGTCTCGATGCAGCAAGGAAGATTTGGAAAGATTTCTCAGGTATTGAGGTCACTTATTCTTGTTGCGCTGGGAATGTCTCTGTGTGCCTGTGTCCTCACAGCCAGGGAAGGCAACGTGGCCGAGTGGGAAGGCCACGGAGTAGAAATCAGGGCACTTAATTCCAATCCTGGCTCTTCCATTGACTCATGGTGTGGATTGGGATGTGCTATGTGCTTTTAGTTTCCATATTTTTCAAATAAAAGAATGTTCAAGATGATGTGTAAGATTGAAGAATTATTATAATGATAAAAAGAATCTATCACAGTGTCTAATTACCTCTTAAGTGTTTCTTGGTGGAAATATTCTCACTGCTCTTCACCCAACTTTATCTGTTGTTATCACAAAGAGTTCCTCTAATAAAATCTCCACCTTTCCATTATGCTACTTCTACACTTTTAATCTATTTATTTATTTTTATTTTTTTAAAATAGTTTTCACCCTTATGATAGTCCTTGATTCTCTTCTTTTCCACATTCAATGGGAGTAATACTTAGCTTCTGTCTGGTTGGGAAAAAATGAAAAATATTCCTAGTATTCTAATTTTCATGTTAAAGCCCTTGTTTTTTTACTTATTCCTTTGCTAATAGAATAAGCAGCTGAAGCAGGAGGTGACATGCAAAGTAGTTAGAGAGATGCTTAAGGTATTCAAAACAAGTCTAACGAAGAAATGTAGCTAGCTAAATTCACTACTCAGATGAACTTTATTCATTTTTCCATACTCTTTAAATATTTAAGCCCATTTATTCTATTAAATGGATATTAAAATCTATAAAATATGATGTTTATTACATTACCATAATTTTGTCCTGAAATATGTGCAATATGTTCTGTGCATGCTCTTTGTCGTAATAGAGAACAGCACTCAGAACATGTGATATTTTGAACACACCATTAGTACCTGCACAGTAGCCCTTAATTATTCCTAATGAGTTCCTAAGGAACATGCATGATTTCGTATGACTGCCTTCATATGAATCAGGACTCTAATCAAATTAAATGTTGTTTACAAGTTGTATTACAAAGCTGTATACAAATTGTATTACAATGTCAAGTACAAAAATATCTTCCCTGTTAATATTCAGTTGAGAATGCTTTCCATACATTCTTTAAATCCCCAAGTATAGCTGATTTCTTACATTCACACATTACTTTTAGGCAAGTTACTCTCTGAGTCTGAGCTCTATGACTTATAAATGCATAAAATAATACTAACCTCACAGTGTTATATAGATTAGTTGAGATAATCCTTCTGAACATGCTTTATAAACCAAAATATTATATTAACTTGAACACTATTATTTTTATCTCTTAAATAATTGTAAATAAATGATTTTCATATATGAAATTATTTCTATAAGCATTCTATAGAAGCACTTAGAAGTAAAAATAAAAAGATGTTTTCGAGGCAAACGAGGCGAGTGGGTGCTGCGTTAGGGAAGAAAGGAGCTTCGGCAGTCAGTTGAAACGCGAGGGGTCTGCACAGCCGGGGCACGAAGAATGGCTTCCTTTGGGTGGAAGAGGAAGATTGGTGAGAAGGTCTCAAAGGTCACTTCCCAGCAGTTTGAGGCTGAAGCTGCTGATGAGAAGGATGCGGCTGAGAATGATGAAGGTAACTGGCTTCATGCCATTAAACGCAGGAAAGAAGTTCTCCTCGAAGGCTCTGCTGAGAAAAGTAAACAGCTGAAGGATGAAGGAGCCAGTTTGGCTGAAAATAAAAGATACCGTGAAGCAATTCAGAAGTGGGATGAAGCATTACAGTTAACCCCAAATGATGCTACCCTGGATGAGATGAAATCACAGGTCCTAATGTCTCTTCATGAAATGGTCCCGGCAGTGCATGCGGCCGAAATGGCTGTTCAGCGAAGTGCACATCCGTGGGAGTCTTGGCAAACTTTGGGGCGTGCTCGGCTTGGATTGGGAGAGAGAATCCTGGCTATTCGAAGTTTTCAAGTGGCTCTTCACATCCATCCAATGAACCCCGAAATATGGAAAGAAGACCTCTCTTGGGCAAGAACGCTCCAGGAACAACAGAAAGTAGCACAGAAGATTTAAAAGAGTGAAGCACCAGCTGAAGTAGCACATTTTTCACCGAAGTCGATTCCAGACTATGACTTTGAAAGTGATGAGATTGTCGCTGTTTGTGCTGCTATTGCTGAAAAACAGAAGACAGTTTCGGCAAAATGGTTATTGTGTCTGCTTCTGGGACTGTAGAGACTGTCACCGAGAAGGAAGATGGTCCCACACCACCAGATGGCTCTGTTTTTATCAAAGCCCGATGAAGCAGTGTGCATAATGGAGGAATTCTTTGAATCTTTTTGATTGCCACTTAAAGTTTAGATATAGGGACATTTACTGTGGAGATAGAGGGCAAAACTCCTGTTTGTAAAAAATAAGTTTATCAGATGAGGCATACAAAAACTAAATGGTAGAATTATTAATAGTGTTTGGACTATGTCTTGATAAGTTATGATTTATACTTCTTAAGATTAGAATTCTGAGTAAACTCGCTTTTGATTAATAAACTTAATGTAATCTGAATATATAAGTGAGTATGTTTTAAAGACAACTTGAAAAGTATATTCTTAAATAGTGAATAACTTGATGGCTAATGTTATTAAAATGTTGGCTCAACTTTTGTTTTGTGATAAGGGAAGTGTGTGATATCTTTCCTTCTAAGAAATATACTGTTGTTACTATTCATTCTTTCATTTTTCTTGCTTCATTAGAGTAAGTCTGTCATAAAGCTTGAATATTTTTGACGTTTCATTTTGATTCAAAGGTGTCATTTGGTTATATGTGAAATCTTTGAAAGTTTGGCTGAAAATGCATGCAGATGTGTACATTCTGAACATTTTCTGAAATATCTCTTCTGATTTGTGTTTCGATTTTGACTTTAAAGGTATGACAATAATAGTTTTCTCCTTCAGTATTTGTTAGATGTGTGGAGTATGCAGAATGATTTTTTTTCAATTGTTATAGTAGGTAGAGTAGTCCTTACCACAAGTGAGTCATTTTTAAAATGAATGGCTTTTACAGATAGGTCATGATAAATTGTATTGCTGTATCATCCCAGTCAAAAGCAGTATTTTCTTTTCTTTAATTTTAAAAGCTTAAAAAACCCTGAAGACAGCTTATGTCTTGCTTGTAACTTTCCAGTTGATGATTTGGAATTACTTTTCTAGATAACTTTTTTAGAAATACTTAGTGAAATGAAAAATAATTACAATTTTAAGTAGCTAAATGGTATCTTTCTAAAAATAAAAAAGTTTAAGGATGTTATTAGATGTGTCAATGAGTAAGTAACTGAAACACAAAATACATAGAAACTGGAATGTGATTTGTAGTACAATTCTGTGTTTATGAGAAGACTATGTTAAATATTTTGTTGAAAAGCCACAATCACATTCACAAATCAATAGTGTTGTTGCTAATTTATTTTTATATCTGTATATTGTAGTACAGTTATAAAGAACTATGGAAACTGTAATTTCTGATACTCAGGAAGATATTATTGGTGGAAAATTAATTTTATCTTTGTTAGAGATGAAAGTAAGCTACTTTATGTTAAGGATCTTACCTAACATGGTTGGAGCATATAAGCAATGGTCTACATTTTTATGAGAATGAGTTTCCAAAATTTTGTTTTATTGCAATGCGTATCTTTTTCTTTTCAGAATTGGAAAAGTCAGCGCTTGCCTTGAAAAGTATATTTTTAGCCTAAATTATATCATCAGAAATTTAGCTCTGGTTAAAGAGGTCAGTTTCAGAGTGATCCAGAAAAACAAATATTATTTTGTTTAATAAGGAAAATTCTCAAAAGGTAGATAGTTATCTAGAGAAGTGAATACTTAACATTTGATATGTTGTTTTGAGTAATGGATGGTTGTTTTTTGTGTAATTTGTGAATAAATAGTTTTTTCTGCAAAAAAAATTTTAAAAAAAGATGTTTTCGATATTATAAAAATGTTTCTTGTCGCTATGCTAACAGGTTTTTATATTAAATTCAAACTTTTATACATATCTGCATATTGTCAGGTCAAAGGCCAGTAACTGTTTGCTACAAACAAATCCTCAGAGTATAAATTCTGTGATGGCTCCCTCTAAGCTGCCGGGGATGACATACACTGCTGATGAGCAGTGTCAGATCCTCTTTGGGCCATTGGCTTCCTTTTGTCAGGAGATGCAGGTAAGAGTTGTGTCCAGGTGGGATTTAAGTGTTCACATTCTTTGTTTACAAATATTGATTGAAGAAGAATAGGACTTTATTTTGGAGTTTGTAGGTCAAAAGCATCCTAATCCTTGAAAGAAGAATTTCCGAAGGAAAAATCTGTGCGTTTTTTTTCTTTATACTTTGGATGTGATGAAAATCAGGTGTGCACATTTAATCAAAGTCAGTAAATAAGGACCCAACAATTTCCACTTTGAAAATTAAGCAGAAGTCAGAGAAGTATTTGCATTATGACAGTTAGATGCTTCTATTTTAAATTCCTTACAGTCATCTCTCACTATCAACAGGTGATTGCTTTTAGGACCCCCACAGATACCAAAATCCCCAGATACTCAAGTTCCTGGTAAAAAATGGTGTTATATTTACATAAAATCTATTCACATTCTCCTGTATACTTAAAATCATCTCTAGATTACTTACAATACCTAATACATTGTAAATGGTGCATAAATAGTTGTTACACTATATTTTTAAAATTTCTATTATATTGTTGTATTATTATTTTGTATTGTTTTTTTAATAAAAATTGTGGCCCATGATCAGTTGAATCCCTGGATGTGGAACCTGTGGATTCTCCATAGAACCAACTGTACTTTCTCACCTGATAACTGGGGGAAAGTGCAATAAAAACTATGTATGAACATGTAATTATGGAAGAGGAACTATACCTTTCACTCTGCAAATGAATTTCTACAAGTATCATTTATAGGAACAAAAATTAAGAGAATAAATTTCTAAATAAACTAGAGGAAACAGGCAAATGTATAAAGGGAAACAGTGTCTATATAAAAACAGTGTCTATATAGTATTAATAGTATTACAATAGTCAGTAATTAATTACTCAGAAAGGACAGTTGTGTCAGGTCTATAGAATCTAAAGGATGAAGGGGAATAGCCTTCTGAATTGATGGAAGAATTTAGCTCTATTTACCCTTCCTTCTTCTTTTCTTCTCTCTTCCTGCTGCCCACCCTTATCTGCCCATGTCCTCCCAGTTCTTATTAAAAGAATTATTCATTTATTAGTTTATTTGCTCCTTATCAGTCTCACTCATTAGTAAGGTCTGAGGACAGCATGCATTTCTCTAGCATATAGCCCAGTGGCTTGCAAAGAATAAGTGAAATATTCAGTGAATATTTGATGTAGAATTAAAGTGAGTGCGTTTTATGGGGTTGGAGCTGCAGTGAATGTGAAAGGTTGCATAGACTGGAATACTCATCTGGTCAGAGTGGAGCTCCAAAGAAACTGGTGTTGGTGTGTGATTGTGATCCGATTCACAAGGGTTTATATCTGGCACAGCCATGGATGCTTGGAAGGCAGCATCATGTGTGATCATTGTGACAGCAGCCAGATCCGGTTCTGTCAGATCTGTCGCTGATACGTCTCTGATCTCGTCTACTAACCTCCTTCATTCTGCTCCCACAGTGAGTTTTTAGACAATCAAAAAAGTTTGCTCACAATCTTCTTTCTTTTTTTCCCTTCTCTTTCCTTCATTTCTTAAAACATTTTTTAAAAAATTAATGAACTTTATTTTTATAGAAGTTTTAGGTTCCCAGTAAAATTGGGTGGAAAATACAGAGATTTCCCATATATCTTCTGGCTCCTGCCCCAAGCCCCCTTCTAGCAATGACCCCCCACCACGGTTGTCCATGGCTACACACTGACATTGACACATCATTAGCTATCATGTCACCCAAAGTGTTAGGGTATGAATTTGTACATGGGATGAGAAAGACTTCTCACACAAAGATTAGAATATAAAGATGTAAAAAGTTTATTTACTTTCCCAAGAGAGAAAAAAGAAAAAGAAAGAGAGAAAATTAGAAAAGAAGAGATATGGTATGGCATTGAAGAAAAGGTAGAGGTAGTGCCAGCAGCTGAGGAAAAGCAGCAGTTAGTTGAATTTAACTAGTACCATTCCACAGTATTTTGAGCTCTAAATATCTGCCATGTAATGTATTAAATTATTACTATTTTTGATCTAATTTGATTCTTATAGCTATTATATGCCATAGCTATTCTCCAGTCATATTTTATAGATCAACAATTTGAGGCCTGGATAAATAGCATGAGAAGTTCTTATATGCATTAAGAGGGAGTGTTAGATGCAAATTCAAATATGTCTAAATCCAGAGAAGAGAGTACATTGTAACCACTATGCTCCACGGTCTCTTATGGAACTCAAACTTCTTTTTATGCCATATCATCTTCTGTATAGGAAAACCCTTAGATCAGATCCTATGTTTAAGCTGAATTTTTTTTGTCTCCATAGCTCCTACCCTAGCAGGGTTAAAAACATATCTTAATTGATTTATTTTCTAAAATATTTGCTCTATTCATACGGTTATTTCCAACTAACAAAACTGTATGGATTTTACCATGTGTGAAAATATAGCTGTTTATTGGATTTAAAAAAAAAATCTATGTTTCTCAATATGCTGTTGCCTTGTTTTAAAAACTACACATTGTACAAAGTTAAGTTTTAGGTTTTAGGTATCTAGAAATGTTGTTCTTGTTTCCTCTTCACTTTTACATTGCAATCCAAAAGCAGTACAGCATGCAAACTGTAAGAATCTGACAGATAGATAGCTATAGACATAGAAGAAATTATTTACAAATTTAGTCATTTGTTTGACAAATATTTATTGAGTTCTAACTACTTTCCAGGCACTGTACTATGCATCAATATTATAGCAGGAAACAAAGACCCCACCCTCATGGAGCTTACATTTTACATTTTAGTTGGAGGAAATAGACAATAAGCAGATACATGTATAATATGTCAGTTGGTGACAATTGATTTGAAGAAATATAAACTCAGGTAAGAAAGATAGGGAGTACTACCAGGTGGAAGGATTGGGATGGTGCTGTTTTTTTTAAGGGGACCTGAGAAATACTTCTAGAGAAGGTGGCATTTGTTTAGAGATCAAAACAAGGTAATAAGAGCATGCATTTATTTTTGGAAGACCATAGTGAGAGAAAACAGAAAGCAAAATGTCCTGGAATTTAGTGTGAGTCAAATTGTAAGTTTGATATGCCCCATTAAGCATCCAACTAAGTAGAGATGTAAGCAGGTCCAAGAAAGATATATATTTGGAAGTCATTATAAAGAACTAGATATTGAGAACATAACACTAAATGATAACAATATGAAGTGAGTTAGAAGAGAGACAATTTTCAAGGACAGACCTAGGTCAATACAATATTTAGAGTTTAAGAAAATGAGGAGAAAGCAACAAAATAAAACTCTGAAGAAGTCTATTGATGTAGAAATAGAACTAAAACAAATTAAGATCCTGGAGAGTAAGTGAGGACATTTTTCAAAGCAGGAGTGATCAGCTGTGTCAAAAGCTGAAGACAAATGGAGAAAAATGAAGTCTGAGCATAGGCGATTGATGTTTTTTTTCCTAGAAGACTTGGCACGTTTTTATTTGAAGGTGTCTGGATATGCTTAAATACTCAATAAGTGTCAGGAGTTATAACTTAAAAGTACAAGGTGGAATAGTTATAAATGTAGAAGATTGAATACAGTTGTGTCCACATAATGATGTTTTGATTCATGATGGACCACATATACAACTATAGTACCATAAGATTATAATGCTATGTTTTTACTGTACCTTTTCTATCTTTAGATGTGTTCAGATACACAAATACTTACCAATGGGTTACAATTGCCTACAGCATTCAGTATAGTAACATGCTATACAGGTTTGTAGCCTAGGAGCAATAGGCTACATCATATAGCCTATGTGTATAGTAGGCTATGCCATCTAGGTGTGTGTGCATATGTTTACATAATGACATTGACTAATGATGAATTTCTCAAAACATACCACCATCATTAAGTGATGCCTGACACACATATATATCTTCAAGTGGATCCATGTCGAGTCACCATACCTGCCAATCTGTCATCTAAACTCTATGTGAAACAAATCTCCTAGAAGGCGAGCTCCTTAATATTAGTGGAATCCTTGGTCCTTTTTTGCTAGGCACCTTTTTATTTAGGTGCCTAGCACCTAAATAAGTGCTCAATATGTATTTTTTAATGAGTAAATCAATCAATTGAATAATGGAGTAATAATTTCTAAATTTTCACTCATATAAATACTTGATTCTCAAATATATAATATATCAAGATAATGTGATGATAACCTTCTAGAATATTAATGCAATGACTACAAAAGCCCACCTATAGGGGCAGATAACTTGTTTCATAGCTTATGCATGATTTGGTCAGGCTTCCTTATCACCTTATGGCAAATCTGTTACAAATAACTGTCAAGCTTCATGGTGTAAGGGTTCACAGTGAGCTTCAACATGTATGTTTCAGGTAGAATTTTAGAAACAAAATAATTCTGCATCTGACAATGACAGCTGGACCATAGCATCTCAGTTAGATATTTCTCTTCCATATTTGTAAAGAGATATTTAAACACAAGCACTAGAGACTCAGTGTTATTGGATAATGCACATCTAATTAATGATATAAATTTACCCTTAGGGTAACAGCTTACACATCTTCAAAATGTTTAAAGGCACAGATGCAGAGATCCTTGTGCAACATCTTGATTTCCAGCAATAAAAGCTCACTCTCCTGCATTAATTTGCAGAATTAATGGGTAACTTCTTAGATGGCTTTGTTCTTAAGTTCTCAGCTATTGGTGCCTTCAGGCCATCTGGCGTCTTGTGGCTGAGCCAGCTCCAACTGAATCAAGTCATTGTAATAGCTTCCTGAAATTAGCCTAGCCAAGAATTCAGAGGTATGGAAGAATGTTTCCCTAGAAACAGTAAGAAGTGGCCCTGCAAGAATTAGCTTTCTTTTGTTTTGTTTTTTTATTTTTTAAATTTTTTTTTATTTCAGCATATTAAAGGGCTGATAACTAGAATATACTTAGAACTCACGAAAATCAGTAAGAAGAATTAGTTTTTTTGAATAAGAAGGAAGTGTGATAAA